ATAAACAATCGAGATTTAAAGGCGCACGTGAGTAAAAGCGATCCGGATCATTCGGATGGGTCCTCTTTCTGCATTGTGCGGACGGAACAAATGAGAATGGAAGAAAATCAAATATTTTCAATTTTATTTTAGGTTACTTTTAACGAGATAATAGTCACATAAAAGTGACGGATTGGAGGAGAAGAATAAATAATGTATGATGTGTATTATATTATTATGTAATATTATTGAATTATTGAAAAGAAAAGAAAAGAAAAAAAAATGAGACTTCCGTCATCCTTTTTATTGCCTCTTTATGGAGCTAAAGGAGTTGGTCTCTTCATTTAAATAACGTAATAGATATACGAAGACTGAAAATAGCATATTCTTTTAGTCCATTATCCCTTAGCTCAAACTGCCCCTCGAAATTTATACGTCGGCGTCGCGCGCGCACTGTTCCATAACTCATAAATTACACAATGCAGAACGACGTACGTGCTTCTGTACGATTATTTATGCACAATCTCTCTCTCTCTCTCTCTCTCTCTCTCTCTCTCTCTCTCATATCTTTCTTTCCAGGTCTTAAATCATTATAGCCGACGCGCCACGCGTTACATTGCGAAACACCGACGTTTGTGCAGATTAGTCTTTACATCCGGATTACGCAACGATACCAACCGCCGTAAGTTTTCGCTTGAGAGCGATAAGCTCTCAAGTTGAATTAATCGGACAGACCGATAGCGCGGATCGGACAGTAACGGTGTTGTAAAGAAGACAGAGTTGCCCATCGGGAGTCGCACACACGCACACACCGGCAGACGCAAAGAATAATTCTGTCAAAGCGCATCGTAAAACGATTAACATAGGCTGTAAAATATATGCGGCGTTGCGGAAACGCCGACGGGCGTCGAGCGTCGTCAGCGTGAAACTCGCGCTGACTTTAACTGCGAGACGTCCTCGATGAGGAAGAGTTTCTAAGAATAGTGGAATGGTGTTATTTCTTCTTAACTGAGTTAAGTATCTGTAAAGCCAACTTTTGGAAGAAAAATTGAAATTGTTGGAAGACCTAGATGTGAACTAAACGTGAACGCGTGGTGGTTGTCGAGTCGAGGCTCAAATAAAAATGACCCGCGCCTTTGATAGGTTTATATTTCATAATTCATATATTCTAATTAAATTAATGTACAACAGTATTTGTTCCTTGTGTAAGAAGCGCCAAGGAAGGAATCTTCATATAAAAGCGAAATAAAATTATGTTTGAACTTTTATATAATTTTTGAAGTAATTTAAGAAAGAGTGTGATTATCAATGTAAATAATCATATCGATTACTTTATCTTTGCTTACATTACATTATATAATTTATTTATTAATTTCCTATTAATTTATTGATATATACAAGTAATCGTAAATTGAACAGAAATGCGAGCACTCTACTTTACTTATTACATTATTGGCGAATTATTAAGAACTTTTTCCTCACATATTAAATAATCTTCTAAATTTAATTATTTAATTATTTTCATACAATCTTCAAAATTGTTCGATTGAGTAATATGAATTATTTCGAATTACTGATTTAGAAGCTAAGACACTGATGTAGAAACTAAGAAGATACAGAAAATCGCTTCAAAATCACATTCTCCACTATAGGCGTAAATTATTGGACATGAAATGACATTAAAATTCTTACCTTGAAAAGGATAACCAGTAAAGTAAGGTGCCATATTGATAGTGCTGACTGCCATCTAGCTGTTCCTGTTTCCAGGATCCCTTTCCGTTTCGCTCGCCAGCAGCACCAACCACACCAAGGATCCTCACTTCCGTCGATATCGAGCCTGCTCACAATCCGATTCACAAGTCGAATCCTCACTTCCTCACGCGTGCCCAGCGATGATGAGCAGCGTCCAACGGCAACAACGATGACACTCGACTTCGCCTCCACCGTGAAGGACCGGAATGAAAGGGGGTTCGCCGCCCTTTCTCTCTTTTTCTTTTTAATTTCGCTTTGACGCTAAGCAGAACGGACCTGTTGGCTCCGGGGTCTCGGCTCGAACTGCCGGTTCCTCCGGTCACGATCGTTGAGGGCACGCAAAAGAAACGAAAGGCAGGCACGAAAGGAGGTAAGCCTCCGACGAGGAAGGCTCCGCCTTCGTCGTGGGGCCCCTTTGAGGAAACGACCAGCCGACGGTCCCGGCCGTCTGCTCTTTCATGGCTTTTATCGGCGCCGCTGCATTGGTCACCTGCCAGGTGATCTCGCCGCGCTGGAGGTGGTCGCACGTCCAACTCCGCCTTGAAGAACAGACCTTCCTCCACCACGCCACCCACGAGCGAGAACGTGTTCGTCGCGTTCGCGCTCGACTTACCCTCCCGTGGTGGTTGGCGATATCGATATCGCGAGCTTCCGAGCGGCCGATCCGCGTCGATTTTCTCCGCGGATTCGACGCGGCTCGCGATTTGCGACCAATAAAACGAATTCCATATTTTTCCAGATTTCACATTTTTGCGGTTTAATGGCAAGGAGTATCACTATCGAGCTTGATTTCACGACAATTTGTAATGCGACTCGTAAAGAATGAATAATTCTAAACAGCTTTTATCTTTGTGTTACGTTTTATGTTAAAAACAATAACGATGTGCAGGTTCGATTTAGTATATATATTTTTGCTCACAATTTAAGACAGAATTATTATTATTTTTTTACTTTTTACTCGTCACGATTATTGTATCGCAGGTGAAACGTGACGTTCATATTGTTTCTTTAATATCTTTGCAATATTTTGAAGAATTTCTATAAATAATTTTATTAATTTTTAATCCGACAATTAATATAAAAAATATACTTATAAATATTGTAAATATTAAAAAATACGTTTATATAAATATTTCACTGATTTCACCTAATTTACATTTTTTGACAATTTTATCTTAACAAAAAAAAAATATAACATCACAATATATACTACATACTACTCGATGTAGCATATAATATTACATCCGACTTAATCTTCTAACATCCCTCCGATGCTGAGCGATTAGTTGCAGATTTTAGAATCTGCGCATCGCGACTTATACGACTTATGAGCCCACCGAGTCGATTTCGTAACGGCACGGAGGAAAAAAAGAAGCGCGGGCCCCGGTACAAATTTACGATATCTAATCTCCCTTTGATTCACACGGAGTGCCGCGCGGCCGTCGACACTCTCGTCGTGAAACCCGCCCGACCGCCTCCGTGCCATCACGGATCGCGTGATCCCGCCAATGAGATCGTGGGGGGTTCGGAGGGGGCCGCTGCCGCGCGCGTACACGATCCCGCAGCCGCGATTCGGCGCGCATCGTTAATTAAAATTAATTACGTTTGCCGAGTAATCGTGCGTTTAATTGAATCGCGGGATTCCATCGCTGAGAGCTTCCGCCCGAGACGAAGGCGGAAAATGGAACGGCGGAATGCCGGCGGCGGAATCCGGCATTTTGCACGGACGCGCGCTCCTCTTTCCGCGTCCTTGATTCTTCTCATGCCGCTCCGGCGACGTGTAATAGCGCGATCGCGACGATATCGTCTTACATCTCCGTGTAATTAATGCCGATCGTAATTATTAATGCCGCGTATTAAATAAAAAAAGAAAGAAAAGAGGTAACCGTCATAACTCTCGGTCCGTGAGAATCATCGTCCAGGATGGACGAACGGGGAAAGCGGGTGACGGGAAAGAGAGATCTCGGCAGAGAAGTCGGGCCTCGAAAAAAAAAAGAGAAACAGGTTGCACCGGGTCCTAGAACCCGCATACGGAGCACGATCACCATTTCTTTCTTTCTTCCTGGGACATTAGACATTTCGGACGGGCTCCCCGCCGCGGCGAAGCCACCTCATCTGATTCGCGTGTAATCACTTCGGACATCGACCGAAAAGCCGCGAGGACTCGCTCGGACGAGCATCGCAATCTGGCACAATGGGCCTTAGGACCCGCGCCGCATTAATACACGCGTCAAGCCCTGACGCGTATCGGCTACGACGATAATTCTGTTTGTTCGCACAGAAGTAAGGATGTCGAGACATTAGCGCGCACCGCAGTGACAAAACATCGTAATGCGTTAAAGATGATTCTGAACGAGGAGTAACAGAGTTTTTTCAGCGAAAAGTAGGAAAATTTCAAAAGCTTCCAGCTTCCTCAGACCGGACAATCTAAAGAATGATGCGTCATACAAAAAAAAAAAAGAACATCATTAGAGATAATTTGGAACAAAGAACAATAGAAATTTGCGACGAAAAATCACAAAAGAGGATTTCAATGGTTCTTGGAATTGACGAAAAGTCAATCTTCCAAATTTATTTCGCACTTCATTATTCGTCACAATCGAATCCTTGCAATTTACAATGTTCGAAAAAAATGTTTGCGATGAAAAACCACTAAAGAGGACTTCAGTGGTTCCTGGTATTTGAAAATTCGTCGTTCGAAAATTCAGTATCTCAAATTTATGTCGCATTTTCTTATTTGTCGCGATCGAACCCTCGCAATTTACAATGTCAACACGCGGTAACGACAGGAATATTTCACATTACGAGAGGCGATTTAATGCATCCGAGTCGAGAAGTCCCGACATTAACCGCCACGTCGATCAACGTCGGCGATTTCCCGCGAGGATCACGAGAGAGAGCTAATTAATTGCGTGACCGGTCGACGGGCGATCCGCATTAATCAGCATCGAGAGCGCGCGAGAGGGAGACAGATCGGGAATGGCGAGGGCCGGGGGGGGGAGGTGGGGGAGGGGGGAGGGGGGAGGGGAGGGGGGGCACCGCCCTTTTACGCGAAATTTATGCGCGTTCTCGCCGCGCTTCGCGGAGAGTCACCCCGATCGGACACGCTGTTGCGCTCCTCGCCGCTCGTCATTAGGAGGATAATGCATATCTTAATGATTACGAAACGAAACACTGACACCGGAGTGGATACGTGTAAGTACGCCGATGAATGGCGTCCGGCCACGGCGGGTGCCCGTCCACCGTCCGCCAACCGGGCGTCGTCCCACGCTCCCGCAATCAGCTCCCCATAAACTACAATCACGACACGTGCTATCGCGCCGTCCGGCGCATCGAGGTGCACTCCCTGTGAAAATGGAGATGATAACCACGTAGGATCATCTCAGTCGAACGGATCGGCGCGATATGGTACCTTTCAGGTACCCCGCGCGAATAGGGTTGCCATATCAAAAGTCTCAAAATTAGAACTGACGAGTCAAAGATTCTGAATATTTTACTTGCGAAGCCGAACGTACAAATTTTGATGACCATTCTCTTAGAAAGAGAGACAGAAATGTTATTGATTGTTTTTTTTTTTTTTTTTTAAGGAAGCATCTCTTTTTTATGATTTCTCTTCAAAAAATCTCGAAATAGAAAAATAAGAAAGATATTTAGAAAATTGTCTGGAACTCAAAATTTCTCGGATGTTTTAAAGAAATTCTTCCGAACATCCCCGAAAACCGCAAAAAAGAGGAGAGGAAAGACAGATTGCAATCTTACGCACGAATCGTAACGAGTATCTTCTCGGAAAGTTAAAAGATAAAAGATAATTTAGTTTTATAGAATGGCGTTCATTCGAATGATCGTTGTTTCGATCGTTGTTCGATCATTTCGTTGACCGAATCGCGACCTAAATTGTTGGCCAGTATTCATATGTTCTTATATTTAAGATTATATTAAGCACGATCTCAAATTCTATACGGCTATTCCATTGAGCAAGATCTTAAGATGATCTAGGATCCAACTTAAATATAAGAATTGACTATGAATATTGTTCTTTCTCAAAACTGAATCTCTGAAATCTTTAGCTTGAATTTCAATTTAACGCTTAGTGATCAAATCCGATATTGAAGAAAGATTAATAACTACGCAAACGATGATTTTTTTGTTATGTTAATATTTTACAGAAAGAACACTTATGTTGACAAATCTAAAAATCTGGCCACATAGTCTGAAAGTAATTTTGTTTGGTCTTCAAAAAATTATCATGCAATTAAAATTGATAACCGAATATTTAAATTTATTGCTAGAGGATCAAACATTTTTTCAGTATTATTATCATGTTTAAATATCTAATTTTAATAATAGTTGTAATAAAATTATTTTCATATTTATATCCAAATATTTAGATTTGCTAGATGTAGATATCAACAAATCTGATTTCTTAATTAAAAAACCTGGGAATAGATCACATCAATCAACTCTTTTTCACTTCAAAGAGATCACCTCTTCACGAGTGCCATGTGTGAAAAATATGTAAATAACACATTGTTTTAACCGATGATGTAAAGATTTGTTCCTCTATAGATTCGACCTTCATGCTTGACATTCGCTTCGCACATGGTATTTGCTTAACGCGGGGCACAGTTTACCCGTTGTCTTCAAACGCGCTAATCTCGGAAAAATACGAGCGTGTTCGCGAATATTATCGTGCGCAAAGTTAATTATCGCGTCAGCGAGGGAAGAGGGAAAAAGGGGAAAAAAATGAGATAGAAATGGCGGATGGTCACACGGCGAATACGCGCATGGAGGAGGCTGTAACGGCGTTACGTGCCATTAAAGACAGCAAACATCGTAGCTTTTATGCGCTGTGGAAAATCACGGAGATTGTTCGGGGGACATTAGCACCGGAGCCGGTGGATTCTAATAATCGTCGCTCCCACGATGACAAACTGCAGCCGGATTGGAGCATCTCGTCCATCGTTATCCTCAGATCCGCGGTCGGAGGCTGGCGAAGAGATATTTTTAACCCATTCAACGTAGCTGCCTTCAACGCAAAAACTCGCAAAGTGAAATTTAGAAATGTGATGTCTGTGATAATCTCGTTTGTCAAGATTATCCGTGAATGAGGATAAATCGCAGCCATCGTCGACCTATTGAGACAGCTACATGGCGACCGCAACGAGGTGTCTGAACGAATATATCTGTCAAATGATTGTATCTCAATCGGCGATCGTTCACCAACGAA